TAAAGGTCCTTGATTTAGACCCCGGGGGGGGGGGCCCATTTTTTTTTGTTTTTTTTTTTGTTGTTTTTTTTTTTAAATGTTCCCATCACCAAGCTTTGGGTTCCACCCGATTGGCGCGTTCGTTCTAAAAAAAAAAACCCCCCCCCAACAAGGGTTTTTTTTTTGGGGGGGGGTGGGGGGGGGGGGGAGTCGTGTCGGGAAGCAGAAGGGCGGAAGAACACGAAAACTTGACCCAAACTAGCTCCTCCTTCACCCCGTTCCTGCCTGGTACTGTCCAGAGGAAGATGAGCGTACAACGGTCGTCTTTGGTACGCAGGAAAAAGGGTAGGTACTGGGAAACGTTTAAGGTCCACCGTGAGAAAGTACGTGATCACGAACGGAGAAGTGTCCACCGTCACATGCTAAATTTACACCGCTATTGTGGTGTAGAACAAGGCGGCATTTTCCAACCTAGCTCCTCTCTCTCTCTCTCCCTCTCTTCCTCGCTTGTAACCGCCGCTCTCTGTTTCGTCATCGACGCCGCTTCTGCCAGATCTGCGAGAACCCGGTGGAGAGGACCCTCGCGGCGGCACGCACGTACAAGAGGCGGGTTGAGGCGCAGGTAGGAATTTCAGAGAATAACAGTTGTTGTGCCCCCTTGTCCTTGCCTTGTGCATAGCATCAACCTCGGCTCCCCAGCCCCTACCGGTGCATCTTCCCGCCACTGGGACTGCGGTAATCCGACTACTCTATTTATGCATATGACCCGTCGACTCGAAACGTGAAGAACGTGACAGATTGTGTGCATGTTGCCCGTTTTGTGCGTGTTGTTGAGACTCTTGGGCGTTCGCGAGTTCCGGCCGGAGATGATTTTACTCTTTCTCGTCTCGAGGTGCTGCAGGCGTGTTGCAGTACGTGGATGATGCGTGTGCGTTGTGACAGCAATCCCCTGAGATCGGTATGTTTTTTCGGTAGCGTGGTCATATGATTTGTTTGAACATCTTAACACCGTGGAACCTTGGCAGCATCGACAGTTGCCAGAGTTGACGTAGAGCACTCCTCAGCCAATCCCACCTTGAGCAATATTCGCACAACTCAAATCCAAAAAGCCCAAGCGTAGGGCGGGTCTGGACACATCCAACCCCAAGGCTCAACAAGCGTTCCCACGAGCAATCGTTGACAAATACGAAAAAAGCATGACCGAAAAGAGGCAGTGATTGACATCCGTGTGCCGTGCCCCATGTTCCGGCAGATGTGCGGCTACGGCGACCTGCTCGAGGGCTTCAACTTCAGCACCGAGCGCAAGCGGATCCTCAACCACAAGTTCGAGCCCAGCTTCGACGACAACGTCAAGCAGGTGTGTATGATATGAAGTACAAGCTACGGGGCTCTCGCGTGATACCCGTCGATAAAGATGTGGTACATAGGTAGGCGATCTTTTCGACGGGACGGCGCAGACTTTGGACAAGCAGTGGAGGGAGATTTTTTGACTGGAATTTGTCTGTTGGGTGAACGTTGCCTGGGGCGGGGGGGCGCGACTTGTACTCCAAACGTTGACACGCACAACATGCGTATTGCGTCTCAAGAAGCATGAGTTCGTTCTTGTCGCAAAGAAGTGCCGCACACTTGTTGCGTTTGGAATGATGGGTCGGCTCTTTTTGTTGAAAGTGCGGGGCACCCCGATGGCAATCGTTCTTGTGCCCTCGTTTCCCATCACTCGGGTTCGAATCTGCCGCCTTCGGCATGCAAGCAGCCTCCGACGCGAAGGAAATACTTGGCAGTGACATTCAAGCGTTTCTGCTCATGTCTCCGGTATTTTCATGCGACGATATATATCAAAGTTCCCCTCCACAAGTTACTCCTTGGGGCAAGAAAGATGTTGACTTGGACTTGCGCATACCCTAGGTGGTCTACTGTAGCCTCCCAAAGAGCCTGTGTACAACGCAGGTGTAGCCTCCAACGAACTTGTGTACAACTATGAACCCATGTGCAAGGCGAACCTGACGCATTCCACCCCTCCCCCGACTCCGGTCGCTTCTTTCAACAACGCCCAGGACAAGAGCATTGACGTCTACGGGCGCGAAGAAGAGGAAGCCAAGCAGATCGCGGACCTGGAGAACATGTAAAGGGGATAGCCGGAGAATCCACCTTTGCAAATCTTGGGGGAAAATTTTGGTGCTGGAATCGGAGAATATTAGTATTTCCCCGAGGGGGCCAAGTGTTTCTTCAGCGAAACCCGTGTTTCGGTTGTGAAGTACCACGTTAGACCGTAGACTTTTTGTTTCCCAACACTGCACAACGTCCCGGACGGGGGGGGGGGGGGGGGGTCACCAGCCCGGAAACGGGTAGTCCGTAAGCCGATCCCTGGATAGACGCATCTCTGATGTTGGTCAAGCTCGGAAAAGGCTTCTTTTTCCCTCGGAAGATGTGATGAGAAAAGCGGCCGGGACGACCGTGTCACGTCCAACCTGGTTCTGTTGCTTTGGGCACATGCTTGGAAGCCAGCAACGGACGCTACCTCCACCCGGGAGGGATCCGATCTAGAATTGCCCGTCATCGGGAAAGAAAAGCAACACGCTGTCGGTTGGCCGGGGGTAGACGACGGTTCAGTGGCGAGAGAGATGCAATTTCATGAGAGTACGGGGGGAGTACACACGTCTTGCATACCTTACCGTTAGAGCTTTTACCATGAGAGAGGACGGAGTTTTGCGGACTTTTTTTTTTTGTCCTCGGCGGTGTTTGTGAATAGATTCATGGTCTATGCCCCGTCGGTTGGCGGTTCGTCTTGATTGTTGTGGCCGGGGACGTCGGGAAATTCGCCTTTCATTTGGGTAAGTTTTGATCAGATTTTTTTTCGTGTCTTTCCATGTTTTAGTGTGGCTCATCTTGTTTCTTGACCTGCCGTCGGGCACCCCAGGCGCACCAACCACTGCCGTTCACCAGACGTACGTATAATATAGTCGCAATTGATTTTTGAGCAAGAAAAAAATGATAACCGTAATTTCCGTCGACATTGGGCACCTCTGCGTGTTTTTCTCAAAACAGTCCCGCGCCGGTTGCGCCCACGTGGGTCCGCCATCCATATTTCAAAGCAACGTGTGATGTACGCGTGTTGGGGGCGGGCTGCCCTCTATTTACTTCAAGCCCAATGGTGTCGGCCCTCTGCCGCGCGTACAACGACACCTTGTTGAGATTGTATCTTCCAAACCAAACGGCAAGCCGCATTGGAAAATTTATTGTCGGAGGCGAGTTTAGATGGTCAAGAGGAGTCTGTTCGAGTTGCGATCAATCGTGCGGAATGTATCGTGCTTCTGAGAGCCGGACTACATGCCACCTCGGGCATAATGTCCGTGACTCCTACAGCAGTATCGCATCGATGTCAGCTCTCACAAGACTACTTCCACTATTTCCTGTGGGGTGACGGCCTCCAAAACATGACGGAGGATAGCCTACTTGTCTTAGAAATGGGGTTTCCCAAGGAAGGGCTGCTAGGAGTGAAAACTGCTGTAGTGGATCCTTTTATGTGCACTATCGTTTCTCATCCATGTCGTGCTCTCACGAGACTGCTTCCATCATTTCCTGCGGGGTGATGGCCTCCAAAACATGACGGAGGATGGTCTACTCATCTGAGAAAGGGGGTTCCCGTCGGAAGGGCTGCTATTAGCAGGTCAAACACGCGGTAGTGGTTTCCTTTTACGTGCACTGCCGTTTCGCATCCATGCCGTGCTCTCTCAAGACTACTTGCATCATTTCCTGCGGGGTGACGGCCTCCAAAACATGACGGAGGATGGTCTGCTCGTCTGAGAAATGGAACTCTCCTCGGAAGGATTTCCCTTCCAGGAACAGGGGCATCCAGTGCTCGTCGTCGGCCCACATTTCCTACGAAATACGACATGGGAACACAGACAGGGCGAAAAAGAACACCGTAAAAGAACGGGAATATAGCGCGCCATCCAGCATGTCATTCCGTACACCGTGCGTCATCATAGGTACGTTGATGTTCGAGTGCACCGCCGGGTGCATAGCTTCTTTCGTCCAAACGCTACCACAACATACCCCCCGCGCTCTTCGCGTATGGCTAGGGCTTGCGAGTTCACCAAAATAGTCTTTAACACTCCACACGACAAGGGAAACTTCATGTCGCGGCGCCCGTCGTGAGATTCTTCACCTTTAGGGGCAGATCTCTGATTCTGAACCACCGTGGTCGCATCTCCTCCGACTCCTCAGGTTCCCCTTCGAAGGAAACCGCCTCGTACACGTGAACTCTCTGTCAGAAGAAACAAAAAACACACCAAAAGTTGTGTGACGTAGGTTGCTACGGACATGATATATAGAACCACCACGATGTTGCTTATGAGCGTAACGGGTGTACGTTTTCAACAATGGAACGTGCCGGTGCATGTATTATGCGTGCTGCCCTGCTTCCCAAGGTGTGCACGATTCGATCGTGAGAGAGCAGGGCCTCCCATTCACGGGTTTCATAGATGGATGGATACCTTACGAATTCCTCGGTGGTCGTTGCTAAATAATCAAAGCTTTCCTGTGTACGAACGTGATGGTTGAGCACGGCGCTCCGTGGCCCGCCTGAAAACCGACGCCATCTATCGAAAAAACCATTGTACCTGTTCCGCTGTTCGCTTCTGCTGTTGTTGTATGTCGCTGATCAATGCAGCAAGGAGAACCGTGGGTGGGTAACACGGCTACGCATGTTTGTAGAAAAAAGAACCGTGGGCAAAAGGACAAAGGTCATACAAGTTGTATACCATCACAGAAAGACTATATTATCAAAGTGGAGCGTAGCTGTTGCGCCTATCGGCGCACCGTAGACGAAAAAACACTCGTGATGAACATATTTCACCAACCACGCAGTCTTTGACCAATTTTTGCACGTGTGGGACGTAGAGCCGGTTGCTGGGTGTGCCTACTTCTCGCTTGAAGCCGAAAGATTTGGACGACGAGCCGCGGCAAAGCAGCGGACGGCACCCAAGAGTTAACAGGGAGGGCGTGGAGGAAGGAATTAGAAGCCTTCGCAGACTGCACTCGAACCGAACTACAACACTACAACATCTGCCCGCCACACACACAAAAAAAAAAAATGAGGAAAAAAGTCGAGAGAGAGCGAGAGAGCGAGAGATCGAGAGAGACCGAGAGGCCCAGAGAGAGAGAGAGAGAGAGAGAGAGAGAGAGAGAGAGAGAGAGAGAGAGAGAGAGAGACAGGCAGAGAGAGGGAGAGAGAGAGAGAGACCGAGAGACAGAGAGACCGAGAGAGAGAGAGAGAGAGAGAGAGAGAACGAGAGAGAGAGAGAGAGAGAGGAGAGGAGAGGAGAGCGGCCGGAGGGAGGGAGGGAGGGAGGGAGGGAGAGAAACACGAACAGAGAGAAGCTTACCATGACCGAGGGGTAGGAGGGCACATGAAAAATCAGCCTCCCTCGCAAGGAAAGCTCCCGCGCGGTCACGCCAGCTTCCTCCATCAACTCCCGTTTCGCCGCCTCCTCCACGGATTCCCCGCTCTCCACCTTGCCCCCAAAACCTGAGCGTAGGGGCACCGCAGACGAGACGGGTACGCCCCGGGGTAAGAGCAACGATCGAGCGGTTTGCCGAAAAGCAGCGTCGTCGACAGCGGCTGATCCTTCGCGAGAAACCGGGCGGCTTCTTGCGCGCGCGCGTGTGTGGTGTGTGTGGCTTGCGGGCTGAAGCTTGGACGTGAGGGGGCTACTGCTGCTGTGTCGCTCTGACAACACCGCGCCCTTGTATGCCTTCCCTCCGTGCATGGCTGTCGAAAGCAGCCTCGAAAGAACTTTCGGAGTCGATCTTGAAAGCCTGACTTCAATCACAACCGTTCAGCCAGACGAAAAATTCAAGGTGACGTACGTACGCGTCTTCGCGAAGGACCTCAACGACACAATGTCGCTATCTCTAAGAATACTCCTTCGTAGGCACTATCGGTCGCCATCCCTAAGAATACTCCCTATTAGGCACTATCGGGTGTAAGCATCCGTACACCCACGGCGTAAAACTAGCATACTGTAGTGATACCAGTACAAGGTCGCATCAGTAACGCCTATCACCCGGTATCAGGCCGGTAAAATCTCTGTACGGCCTTAGACTATGCGTTACCTCGAGCGAAAAATTCCTCGTTGGCATGAAGTCGCCCTCGAAACGCGCATGACGACATCTGAAGTTTGTTTTCCGCGCACGGCTCACGCCCACGTACTATGAGCACGGCCCTCTCTAAATCAAGTCTTGAAACGCTCCCTAGCTCGCTCTCACTGCTGTTCCAACTTTTCCCGCGCCAAAACCACTTGAACGTCACGCCTAAATAGTGGTGCCCTCTCTCATCCAACGCCTCATCGCTCGCTCGCCCTCACCGTTCCACTTTCCCTCGCCAAAGCCTCGCTTCTTCATGCCCAAAAGTATTTCCTTGGCGTCATCGTCGCTGTCGCCGCTGCTGCCACCGCCACCACCACCTTCGGGAATTAAAAGAAACCACACAAGTTGGAACCAATAGAGTTACGGAGGCATTAATCGCTTTGTCGACGAAAAATATACCGCTGCCTACTATATCGTGCCGGCCCGATCGAAGAGCGATGTTTGTCAGGGCTGCTGGTGGTGGTGTTGCTGCAAGTCAACAGACGGGCACTGTGACAAGGAAATCTCTCAGCCACGCCAAACCGGTGGCTTGGACCCACGGCAACATGCACACAATGTTGGCGGGGGCAAAACACCATTTTCGAGATAAACGTACCGCTGTATGTACTCCCCAAACCTGAAAACCTGAAAATCCCTAAACAATTAATCAAAATGTATATTCCACCATGTATGTGTCTTTCGACAGCGATATCCCGAAAACCAGATCCTACGGTCCATAGGCCACGCCGTAGCCCCACACCGACCTATTGCATGTGTCTTACCGATCTACATCAATCTCTCCTAGTAATACCCACCGGTCTTCCAGCACCACCTTTATTACCCTTGCGCTTAAAAGTCTACCTCAACACCCCCTATCCCTAACCTTCAGAGCCGATATCCGAACTCCGCTTTGTTCTCCTGCAGAATACCAGTGTAAGATCCTTGACGCTCTTCTTGCTGTCGCTCTCCGTTGCCGCTGATGGTGACACCGACGCCATCGCTCCCGCTGTCGGGTTCCAACCGAACAACCAAACAGCAGCAGCAGCAGCAGCAGGAGGTAGCTGCGATGTTTGTGTTTGTGTTGCGGTATCGTCCCATCCGTTCTGGAGCCAGGTTACGGCTGGATTTACGTTTGGAAACCGATGGAACCGTGCGCTTCGTTGTTGCGGGTGACTCATGCACTGGAGCAACCGAACAGTGTACGAGCTGTGTACGAGCGTCGTATGAGCGCTACATGGGAGTTTTGAATTTCTTTGGATGCATGGATACTTGGCTATGTTGTTGTGGGTATTGAACGTAGTCTGAAGAAACATCAGAATATCAGCCCCGCCCTTGCAGTCTCCGAGTGAGCGCTGAGCGGACCTGGTGTAGCAAGGCTAAGACTAGAGATCAAACAACAGCTGCTGCCTTCCTTCCCTTTTATTTCATTCCTCCAAACACCCACACATGCCACCATGTAATTCGAAGTTATCAGACATGCCAACACGCGAGAGATGTGCCGCTCTTCACCAACATAAGAAAAATCGTACAATCCTGTTTTGTGGTCGGAGTCAAGCGGAGTATTAATTTTTGGCATGACGTGCCCACCCACCCCACGGGCTGCACACCAAGGGCGCGCACACGTGCAGCAATGGGTCCTGCGGGGAGGTCGCACTCACTCCTGCATCCTCTCAACACCCGGATTTCAAATATTTGAAAAGACTAATCGTACCAGGTATATTTTTTAAATGTAATGTGTACTGCTGTAGAGTTGTTTCGATCAGTCATGGCGTGAGATCCTCGTTCCAGTGGAACACTACGCGCGGAGTCGATGTTATACGCGCCACCACCATCCATGCACGCGACGCGTGCTCACTTTGGTGGATGCGCTGTGCTGCACAAAGGCAAGACAGGCTGTAGCATGCAACGCGGCGCTCCACACCTTCTTCACCTCGTTCACTGTGTCGTTTCCACCCGCAAAGCTGCTTGGACGCGAGAAACTGCACTGAGAACGGGAGTGCGGATGGTAGCAGAAGAACCGCGAGACAGCAGCAGCAAGCTAGATGCATATGAACGCAGTACGTACAGACGTTGCCGGCATCTGCATGAGATGCGGCGCAACTACTGCTGTTTGGGCGGTCCGCGATATGCAATATTTGAACTGGTATGGTACCTACCCGTACCTTGTCCCAACGTGTGCCCCCCTGCTCCTTTGTTGCACGCGGAGAGTCACCACTCTTGCTATTTGCGCCCTGGTGCCACTAACAGGCGCAGAAGAAGCAGCAAGCCATGGCGAAGGCTACCACGAAGAACCCGCCCACGAAGAAAAATGTGCCCAAGAAAGATCCCGCTGCCAACCCCGCGTTCAAGTGGCAGATGGGAGGGCTGATCGCGGGCATCATCGTGGCTCTCGCTTCGACGACTGAACCAGGGAGACAGGTGAGCCAAGCAGCGTGCGTACCGACCACTGCGCCTCTCCCCTCTTGATCTGCCGGGTGCACCATCCGCTAGGCATGGCGGAGAGCACGCGTCTGGCATCGTCAAGGTGCATGCGACGATAGAGCAGGCTCGCTTTGAATCAAGCACGGACGGTGGCTCTCTTTCTCTTGCAGCCATGCTGCATACCCAGAACAAGAACCGGAGCAACTTGCGAGCGGGCTAATTCAAAGTAAAGGAGTACACAGCAGGCTCACCCTTCAGAAGGATTCTTGTGCCATGAACAACAACACACCTTGACATCCAGCCCAGCCGTGTTCGGTAATGTTGCCCTTGCCATGATGAACACGCAATTATAACTCAAGTAACTGCAATGCCTTGGATTGGCTGGCCCACTCGTTGCTTGTTTGGGCGATACGTCGGCGAGTACCTGAGGTTTGAAAAACTGCACATCCTCTACGGGTGAGAGAGGAGCGGTAATTAGTCCGCTTTCGTTGTCGCTGCATTTACCCTCCTGGACACTTGTTTCGGCCAATGCTTCGTGCAGCTTAACCGCTTGTAAGACCTTCGTGCACGAACCGGAGCAGCTGTTTGCAAAGGGAGGGGGTTCAGGTTAGCCTAACGCTTCAGTGTACCAAGAGGTGTACGGTTCCCAAGCGGCTGTATACCCGACGGTCCGTCCACTACAACTGTACCATAGAGCGCAAGGACACGCAGATTGCTCTTGTCGGCACCCGTTGTAGTGTGTGCTCTTAGGGGGTGTGCGGCTGGTCGCTGGTGGAGCGAATGCTAACAACGCTTACAAAAGCATTCGTACATGGTTAACTGGTAGAAGCAGGTTTTAGCGTCGGCCACCCCGCTTCCCGCCCCGAGTACATAGGCACGTGGTACGGCAATACCTTGTTTTGACATCGTGGGCGAATCAAGCGTGCTGCTCCATTGTGGGGCGACGCGGGAGTGTACATACACTCAGAGGTGCCGACATCGATGCATTGTATGCATGGAAAGGTCTAGAGTGACAAATAGAGCCAGTCTGAACCAGCTGTGAATGTCACCTCAGACTGTCGTAGATTGTGACGTCAGATGACGTGGTGGAGTCGGAGCCCGCTGCAGCAGGGTTCAGCGTCTATCATACGCTGACTCTATCTGTGGCAACACCCCGACGGTAGATCTCCGACAGGTCATCTGACGTCACAATCTACGACAGTCTGAGGTGACACTCACATGTGGCAGTTGTTCCTACTCCCTGATTGCTTTGTGGAGTGTGGACATGACCAACGAGCACTGGCTATCGACCGTGTGTGCTACGCGAAATGCAATTGCTGCGGTCGTGGGGGCGGGGGGGGGGAGCGGCACTCCTGGCAGCGCCACGATCGTGCGCCCACCTTCGCGACCAGTTGGACCAGTCCGCCCCCGCGTGACTCGCGCGCCGCCGCTCCTGTTGTACTATCGCTGACGGTTTCCTTGCTCCCGTTGAATATGACCCGCACGATGCTTCTCTCCGCGCGTAGGCGCTGAGGTCGGTTGGTCTGGAGGATGTGGTTCTCCACTACACGAGAGGAAAGTCACGCTCGCCCAAAGGTATGTTGTCGCTGACTTGACGGTATCCCGGGATTCAACCGTGTCCCAAGAACTTGGATTACGGTACGGTACTTGCCCAATTTCTTTCACCGGGGGTTTTGTTCAACGCGCCAATGTTGGTTTCAAACCAGTCCGTATTTACAACAACACGATCACCATGCGCCCTATTTTGCCCAAACTCCAAAGTCGTTTGTCTCTGGCCGTGAGCACCATCACCACGCATCGTCGCGTTCTTGGCCTCACGGCCACCTGCGGTCGTGGGCCGTCTATAAGGGAGAGATACCTCAATAGGGCGGGTGCCCGCTGTTACGTCGGGTGAAGCGTCTTGTCTCTTGGCACCGAAAGAATATACGGGTTATGCGTGAAGGTATGTTTTATTTTTTCATATGGCGGGTGCCGGCTATTGAGGTCGGGTGAAGTTGTATAATCTCCGGAGAATGAATATTATTAAGTACTAAAGCATTTTGTTTTTGGTGTGGAGGGTGCCCGCTAGAAGGGAGAGTGAACAAAATCGGCCTGGCGCAGAGCCACCGTACCGAGGGCGTGCGACTTCTGTTGTACTACTCCAGCCGCCCACGCTGGTGCAATCAAAGCCATCGATCGCCGCACCCACGTGGCCACCACAATCACACCACCGCCGCGACGATGTTTTCCGGAAACCTGCGAGCAGCCCGAGTGGATCAGCAGCCGCTGCCGGAGAAGGCGGTGGAGGTGATCCCCTCGGTGTGCCTCACACAGCCGTGCAAGGTCAAAGTTTTCCACAACGGCGAGCACGAGGGGGGGAAGAGCTTCACGGTGTCCCCGGCGGATGTGGAGGGCCTGCAAGACCTCGGGGAGTGGCTAGGGCCCAAGATGGAGTGCGTTAGCCAGGGGATGAGGTGAGGCGCACGGGGGGGGAGGGGGGGGGGGGTCCCCTAACAGCGGTGGGTGGGTGGGTGGGTGCCATAAATACGGGTCGTGGTCCAGGGATACCTTGGGGCTCGCTACAAGTACTTCTGTTGCTCCTTTTTTTTTGCCCGGAAAACCGCTGGGTTTTTGTGTACAACCCCGGCCCAATCTATGTGATGATTTTACG